TACTCTTGATTTCTCATGTCTAACCCACCTAACCTAAACATCCCTGGGCACTACGGGCAATTTAACACAGGCAATCCACCTGGCCTGCACACCTTTGGATTGGGGGACGAAACCGGAGCATTCAAAATTATGCTCTAACTTTTATTCTAAATGAAAACAGTAAGGAAGCTTACATGAGTAGAACAAAACATTGGCATATAGTTCACATTTATGCTCCTAATCTGCAGCAAACTTCATAGAATCATCATCAAATCCCTACAGTGTAGAAACAGACCCTTCGGTCCAAATAAAAGTCCGCACCGACCCTCTGAACAGCATCCCAACCAGACCCATCCCCCCGCCCTTTCCCTGTAACCCTGCATTTCTCATGGTAACACACAACCCAGAGGAGCGCATGCGTGAGGCCTTCCCCCAGCGCTGCCATTGAGGAGCATTTACTCTGAGTGGAAGAGGTTTGTTTGAAACAGACCGCAATGAGAGACCAGCGTCCAGGGAAGCGAGAGAACAGCAGGCTCCTTCCAGTAGCACATCGAGATGTGAGCCTGGGACGCAGGGGGCCTCCGAGACTGGCATTGATTCGGGTTCAGTTCAGGGAGAACCGGGGGCTGTTTGTAAGAGGCTGAGCGGAGCAGGAACCGGTCCCGGAACTTGGAGTGAGTGGCCTGGGGTGGAAGAGAGAGGCTTTTCTCGGGCTGTGTGTGGGCCTGCTGAGGGAGACACAGCCGAAAGAAGCTGCTGGAGGTTATTCTTGTGGCTTTTCATCCTCTAAACTGTGATGGAAACTCGTCGTTCGGCTTCTGTTTCACGCTGTTTTTGGACATTGTGCCGTGAACAGTGGAAACACAGACTAGAGGAATGTTATAACCCTGAAAAGGACAGTTAATTGAGTCACCAGGTTAAATTTCTCATCTGAAACATTTAAAATAGCGCCCTTTGTTCTTCCTTTTTAACTATTGGTGTGTTGGGAGCCGGATATTGAACTGTGTCTGCATGCCTGTTGCTTCGGTTAGCCCCATGCTAATTGTTGCTCCGTT